CCGTCCAACCTGGCCTGGGATGTTTCCAGGGATGGGGCCTCCACTGCCTCTCTGGGCAACCTGTGCCAGTGCCTCACCACCCTCATTGTAAAAAAATTTCTTCCTTATATCCAGTCTAAATCTATTCTTCTTCAGTTTAAATCCATTGCTCCTTGTCCCGTAATGTAAGAGCAACCTATTCTGGCGTGAGCAACAGCAGAGAGCAAACTCCATCCTCCATGGTCAAATACTGAGGGATTTGTCCTTTAGACAAAGAATCACTTTTTGCCCATCTTCTGCGTGTCTTTGGCAAACTTTTAACAGGTTCCTAGGAGGCTGACCAGGCACAGCTCAACCGAAAGGGATTGCTTCCTTGTCCCGTAATGTAAGAGCAACCTATTCTGGCGTGAGCAACAGCAGAGAGCAAACTCCATCCTCCATGGTCAAATACTGAGGGATTTGTCCTTTAGACAAAGAATCACTTTTTGCCCATCTTCTGCGTGTCTTTGGCAAACTTTTAACAGGTTCCTAGGAGGCTGACCAGGCACAGCTCAACCGAAAGGGATTGCTGGCCCCCCAAAGCTACCAGGCTTCTCCTGCCTCAGGAGCAGTATTTTCACTTTGGTCTCTTAAAAAAAAAAAACCAAACAAACCAAACAAAAAAAACCCCAACAAACCAACCACTGAAGCTGCATTTTGGTCTCCATCCCCAAAAAACAATCAGGCTGTTCCTTCTCCCCGCAAAGGGATGAAATCCAAAAAGGATCCTTACACTCGACACACCTTAATCTGTGCTTTGGAAAATAAACAGGACTTTCAGACTTCCATAGCACCTGGCCAGGATCAAAATTGTAGGTTCCCCCCCTGCCCACCCTCCTTGCGACATCAAAAAAAAAGTCACTGAATAAAGCCCAAACTTGTGCACGGCTCCGGGCGTGCATTCCCTTCTCCCGGCTCCTCCTCAGTCGTACTGCAGCAGCGAGTAGAAAGGGATGGACTTGAGCTTTTCTGACCCTTTCAGGAGTTTTAACTCTATGATCACCAGGCACTCCAGGACTTCAGCCTTCAGCCTCTTCATCAGCTCGCAGGCCGCACACATGGTACCTGCACGACACAGAGGTTGAGCAGAAACGTCGTCGCTCGAGGAGCAGCGCCGAGGTCAGCTTCAAACCCCTCGGCCGCTCCAGCCGTCGCCAGCGCGGACGTTAGGCGGGTTACACGTGCTCTAACACCCTCTGCTTCTCTCACCTCCAGTTGCGAGCACGTCATCCACAATGACGACTTTCTGGCCCGGTTCCACGGCGTCACTCTGGATTTCAAGTTCAGTCTGCAGGGTGGAAAGAGTAGCTTCATTTTAGTCTTGCCTTACGGAGAAACACTTCACAAACCACTACCACATGGTGGAACGCAGACGAGTCTTCAGGGAGGTCAGCCTTAGCACTCAGCACCTAAAACCCCAACAACACATGCTCCAGCTACACAGGAGTGCCACGGAAATACATAGTGGGTTAGGTGATTGCTGGGCCAAGCCTCTGGCACGTCAAGATCCTGAACATTCATCAAGTGAATTATGGTCCCATCGTGAAACTTTATCCCCAAGCAGTTCTCCAGCGGGGAAAATCTCCTGTAATGCACCGGGTTGGAGTGCTCTGCCCCTGACAGCCCCGCCAAGCCAGATCCAAACCATCACAGGCACGTCCCGTGTGAGATGAACTTGCCCCGTGCAGGGGCTGGCCCAAACAATCCTCATTAAATAACGCCTAGGTTTGGTGTTTCTGCTGCCGGTCCTCGGGTGCTGTTAGTTACCAGCGTGTTATTTATTAGGCGTACGCCTCCGCTCTTTAATCAGAGCGGCCGGGGCGTTAATGAGGAGAGCGCTCTGTTTTGAAGCCACGTAAAGCAAGGCATTTACTTACAGCGCTTACTGGAAGAGTGGGAAACACACTCCACGTTCATGCTCCTGAATTCAAGCCAAAGAAAGCCGTTTAGCACCAAATCTTAGCACCTCCCACAA